AGTTTTTCACTTCTGAATCAAGGAGCCGGTGCACGGCATTTTCCCACCATCCCTTGGTTCCCTACTTGGACCAAGCTGGAGGAACGTGGTTTGTCACCTGCCCTGTGTAGGTGAATGGTTGGCCAAGGGGTTTGCGTACCCATCAGGCAGGCTTAGCCCACGAGGTGCAGTCCGATGTGTCCAGAGGCTGCTAAAACACCCAAGTTGCTGCTGGTGCTGGGGAACCCTCCCAGAGACCCTCCGAGAGTGGTGTGCAGGAACTTGGGAGAGCCTGGCCCTGAGCCCTGCGGTCACAGAGCTGCACAAGGATGTTGCATGACTCCCTGAGACAGGTCAGTTCTGGAGGGGAGCGGCATGGATCCGTGCTGTCAGCTTGCAGGGGTGTTGGGAGAAGCCAGCCTGCTGATTCCCTGGGCAGCAGAGCTGCACCATGGTGCTTATCCTTTCCTTCGCCCTTGCACCTCCAAGCCCTCAGCATTTCAGGGGAGGAGCCATTTCCTGGAGGGCACGAGGAGCCCAGGGTGCCCATGTCCAATATGGGGTGTTTGGGTTTTCTGGAGCGGGGTAGTTTGGGAGGGCTCCACACTTTGCTGTGTGCGTGGCAGAGGGCAAGGCAAGCAGCGTCCCCAGCAAGCAGCACTCATGATAGGCCTTGGGAATATTATTTTCCAGCTGTAGCTTGGTCCCTGGAGAGCTGGCCTTGCTGGCTGTGGAGCTGTAGCTCTGGGCTTTCCTTGGCTACCCTGGAAAGCAGGATGAAGGATTTCAGCTCGACCACGCAGAGCAGAGAATTGGCCTGCAATGCTTTGTGTTAGGAGCTGCTTCCTCTTGTGTGAGCCTGTGTTGTGGTGATCCAGACCTCCAGCACCTCTCGCTGTTGCCCCTGGAAAGGGAGGGCTCATGCTCTGATCCTTTTTCTCCCCAGCCTGGCAGCACCAAGCTGTGGTCCCCTCCAGCAGGTTGTCTTTTCCCTGCTGTGCTGGTGGGGCTCCCTGGCAGCATTTGCATTTTGAGACAAGTGTTTTAGTTGCTTTTCTCTCTGTGCCCGCGCTTTAGGAAAGTGGTGAACAATAAAAATCCGCTGGCAAGAGCTGTAGCAGAGGTCAGGCAGCTCCTGTGCCCCAGGCTGCTCTCCTGTCACTGCACAGCCATGCTTTGTGCATGGGGGCTGTCAGCTTGAAAGTCATGTTTTTGCTCTTAAAGCCATCCCCAGGCACTGGTGTGGGGTTCTGTGAGTGATGTACTGGGGAGGTATTGCAGCAAACCTCCTTCGCATTTAGGGCAGTGGTCACTGCCTGTTTTGATGCATCTTGTAAGCAGCCTCTTGGCAAATTTTAAATCAAGGACAAAGGAGGGTAAGTGGTTGCTGAAAATCATGAATTTCTCTGAGCTCCTTTCTGAAAGTGATCGTTGCAGGTTGTCGGTGTCCCTGCAGGCTTCTTAAAATGCAAAACAAAGCACCCAGCCCAACTTCCTGACTGTCACTAGTGCTTTCAAGAGACGCTTCGTTTTGCTGAGTGGTAATGAAATTGGGCTTTGCCATCCACCAGCTCCTGGCTTTGCCTGTATCCCTTTACTGGAGCTGCTCTGCCTGAGCACAGCTGGGGAGCAGGGGGAAAGGTGTCTGCAGCCCAGCCCCTCCTGCTCTTGGCCCTTTGCTTGGCAGATGCCATTAGCACTGTCCATAGCATGTAGGAAGTGGGCTGGACTCAGAGAGTTGCTTGTGGAGAGGTGGCAAGTGGGCTGGGGACTCCAGGGATGCTGTTTGGGGATGGGAAATGGGGCTGAATCCCTGCTCCCTGGGTTGGCTCTGCCCAAGGAGAGATTGGGTCTGTTTTAGCAAAGGGCTCTTTGAAATGAGAACTGAAAGGCGAAATGCAGAGGAGTATGGAGTCCCAAACTGCAAGCTCTGTTGGTAGGAAGAAAGGGAAGGACTGTGGAGGCTGCCCAGGCAGCAAGTTGGGGATGGACCTAGTGGCATTTGCTCTTCTCTCCCCACCTGTGTGCAACTGAGCTGTGGAACTGGCTGCTGCAGGATGCCAGGGCAGACAGAGGTGAGCGAGGTTCAGTGGGCTTCTGGAGTCCACCCAGGTGAGAGGAGGACACAACCCATTCCTTGGTGCTGCTCAGCTACAGACGTGCCTGAGCTGGACCCAGTTGCTGCACCAGCAGCCTTCTGGTCATTCTGTTCAAGTTGTGCTGATGTTTCTAGGGCAAACAAAGGAAAGTGGAGATATCTCTGCAGATTATTTACCCTGTCCTAAGGAAATTAAGGCTTGTGCAAGCTGCAAGCTTATTGTTTATTTGTGAGTGTTCTCCTCTCTGCTTTGAACTTGCTAGATGGTGTCAGCTGGGGAAGATGTGTGTGGATGCTGTCTCTAAGGTCTTGGCTTGCTACAGGCTCCGGCTCTTGGGGAGGAAGGTGCTGCTAGTCCTCCCTCTGCAGTGCAGCTCAGCCGTGCTATTAGACATCAGAGAATCCACGTGGGAGAGATCGACAGGAAACTGGGCGTTATCAGTTCCGCTGCCTGTGCAGCTACTCGCTCATGTCAGCATCCTCCACGTGTGTGTGGCTGGAGGCGTTTGATGGGAGTGCTGTCAGCCCGGGGGTGGGAGTGGGTGGCATGTGATCAGGCAGAGGCGTTCTGCCTCCGCTGCCAGTGAACTCGGCTACACCGGCTGTGTGGAGCAGGGGGGGAGCCCCTCGCTCCCCTGTTGCCACAGGGGAGAAGTGCTTCACCCTGCCGATGTGAGGGTGTCCCATGTCCTCTGGTGCTTGCACTGGGCCTTGGGTAGCATGGGGACACTCCTACTCCCCGCTCCCCACAGCGCAGGGAGCTTTTGCATGCTTGGTGCTGGTTTCTTACCACCTTTTTCCAGGCACTGAGAAGAAGAGAGAAGGATCTGGGGCCTCTTCATCTCCCTGGACTTGTGTGAGAGGCCAGGGAGAGCATAAAGGCAAGGCATTGGCATGCTGAGTGTCAGGGAGAGCATGGGGGGCAGAGCAAACCTCCAGTGGGAGATGTGCTCTCACCACTGGATCACCCTTGCTAATCCTGTGTCAGACCTGACCTATATATGGGGCAAAGGAGGCAGCACGCCTGCAGCAGCAGATGGTATCTTTAAGAGCCTGGGCTTGGGAAGGCTTCATTCTGCTGGCCCCCAGCTCTTCGGAGGGAGAGGATGGGCCACCCGTCGGCTGCAGAGCAGCTGAGTTCAACCTGAGCAGCCCCTTGCAGGTACAGAGCTTTCTAAGGCTGCTGCCTGGCACTGGGAATGTCACACGTCTTGGTGGCTGGGCTGGGTACCTTGGTCCTGGCCCAGATGTGCTGAACCAGTGTCTGTGGCCAGCCTTGCTGTAGCATCGCTTGGGCTCCTCACATGGCTCTTCAGGCAGAACTCTGGACCTGGAGCACTGTGATGTTGGTGGCTGTGTCCCTGAGACAGCGAAAGGCAGGGTGGGCTGAGCCACTTCTACATGCTCTGGCCCTGAAGCTGCATGTGTGGTGCCCTGTCCGTGCTGGCAGTGTGGCCGTGCCATGGGAATGATCCAGCCTGGCTGGGCAGGGAGCAGGAGCAGCATGTGAGCTGTGCTCCATCGATGGCTTCTCCCAACGCTGTCCTGAGGACATCGATAGCTGCTGGCCGCGGGGGAGCTGGTGACGCTGGAGCGGGTCCGCAGGGAGTGTCTGCACAGATATCCACCATCTGTGGCCTCTGCCTGCTGCTGGTGCTCTGACTGTGTCCTGGCAGCTTTGTGAAGGTGCAGTGCTGCCTCTGTGCACAAATAGTGGCAAGGTCAAAGGGCAGAGTGCTGTTTTCCTTCTCTCATCTCTAGTCCTCAAATCTTGGAGCGAAGAGGCTGTAGTAGAGCAGACCTGGAAGGGTGGTTGTTCAGGTCTGGGCTGATTGTGTCCTTTGGCTGTTTCTCCTGGTGTGCCTGTGTGAGCACATGGATCTGACTCCATGGTAGGTCTGCCCCACTGTGCTGCTTTCCTGTCCTATGTGTCCCCTGCCATGGGGACAGAGGCAGTTGGCCATGGTGCTGTTGACAGTCATAACAGAGGGAGCTTGCCCCTGGATCCTCCAGGTCCTTGAGCCTGGTGTGGTTCCTCCTGCATTACTGGATTTGGGGTGAGGAGGTAAGAGCTGTGAAACTGGCCTTGAGAGGGGCCTGGAGGGATCTCGGCACAGGGCTGGGATGGGGCAAAGCTGAATCCAACTGCTCATCCACAGTGATGAGCTACTGAATTGTTAAATCGTCAGTCTGAGGTCTTCTTTGAAAGGGGTGATGCTACAAATTAATTAGCTCCCTTTTGGTTGTTAGCACTTTAAAACCCAGCTGTCAGGGGAGGGCTGGTTTATAGGCATTACATCAGGGCTGCCGGCTGGCTCGCTCGCCTACCTGGGAATTTCTAAGTGTGCGTTGTAACCGGGGGAAATTTGGCTCGGCTGCAGCATCTGGCTCTCAGCGAAGCTGCTGCGACGCGCTGCCCTGAGCAGGGGGGTCTGACTGGCACTGAGGGGAGTTCCGAGGGCACACGGGGAGCTGCTGGCTCGTCTTGGTGAGCGGCCCCCGAGGAGCCGGCGGCTCAGCCTCCCGGTGTGTGGTTCCCAGGGATTCGGTGGCACAGCCTCCCGTTGTACGGCTCCTGGGAGCCAGTGGCTCGGCCTCTCAGTGTACAGCTTCCAGTGATAGCCACAAGCCAGGGGACTTGCTCAGGTGAGCTGTAGGTGTGCAGGAGATGGTCGACGTAGTTTCTGCTCCTTGTTTAATAACTGTGAGAGAGTAGGAGGCTTTTCTAAAGCAGAAGGGGCTTTTCCAGTGCATGGAAGTTTGTACAGGGTGAGACGTCCTGGCAGAGCTGTTGGTGCGGGCAAGGGCTTGATGTGCAGAGCAGGAGGGGAGCAGCTCGTCCGTGCTCCCGTCCCAGTGGGGGAGGTGGCAGAGGGGCCGAGCTCCTGCTTCCCAGTCCCCTTGCCTGTTCAGCCCCCCAGGCTCACGGAGCTGGGGCCCTGTGGGGGGGACAGAGGCGCAGGTAAGATGCCCCCAGCCGCGGGGGCCGTCCCGGCGGGATGAGGTGGCTGCTGCCCGGTGCTCCCGGGCGGGGGTCGCTGCCCCGCGTGGCGGCCCCGCGCTCCAAGATGGCTGCGGACCGTGACACGCCTGGTCACGTGGGACGCGCGCGCGCCGCGCCGCCCCCCCATCCCCCCCCCGGTGCCCCGGTCCCCCCGCCCCGCGCGCGCCCCGGTGCCCCCGAGCGCGGCGATCGCTCCGGCGCGTCCCGCCGGCTCTTAGAGGACACGCACCTGCCGCGGCCGCCCCGCGCCGCGCACAACAAAGAGGCACCGGAAACAGCGGCGGCGGGGAGGGGCCGGCCCGGCGGGAGGCGGGCGGGAGGGGAGGAGGGAGGGCCGGCGGCGGGCCGGCGGGGGGGCAGGCCCGGCCCGGCGTCGGCGAACAAAGAGCGGCGGGAGGGAGGGGGCGGGGGCGCCGCGGCGGCACCGGAGCGGCGGCCCAGGCCATCGCTGCAGGTACGTGCGGGCCGGGGGGGGGCGTGAGCGGGGCGGGGGCGGGGGCCGCCCCCCGGACCTTCGGCGGCACCTGCCCCGGGCGGCGGCGGCGGGGCCCGGCGGCCGCCTTTGTTATTGCTTTTGTTTGGCGCCGAGCACATGGCCCCGGAGCGGCCGCTCTTAAAGCCACAGCTCCGTACCCGCACCGACGCCGGCACCGGCGGGGCTCTGCGGCGGGGGCCGCGGCCCGGGGTGCGCTGCCCGGGGCCGGTGGCCGCGGTGCCTTCCCGGGGTGCTGCACGGCGGGGCGCCCCGTCGGAGCGCTCCGGGATGCGCCGCTCGCTCTGCCGCGTGTCGCCTTCCTGGAGATCCGGGAGCCGAGCTCGGGTCGGGTTTGGGGTCGGGGTCGGCCTTCCAAAGGGGCTGCCGGTGCGGCGGGGCCAGCGGTGACCCCGCTCCCGGGGGAGCGGCGGGGAAGGGGTTTCGGGGGAGCTGGGGGTGCCGGGACGGAGCCGGCGGCGGGGTGGGAGCACAGTCGGGGCGGGCGGCTCCCCCGGCAGCCCCCAGCCCAGCTCTGCCCGAGCAGATGGCACCGGGCGTGAGCGCTGGCGCGCTGCTAACTTTGTTCTCGACGGGGCCCGGGAGCCGCCTCCCTCCGCCTTTCCGAGGGGCTGCGGGGATCGCGGTGCCCTTCGCTGCCGGGCTGCCGTGGCCTCCTCGGGGTCGCGGCCACCCTGCCAGGGGTGGTCACTGACTCTCAGCCACGAGTGCGAGGGAGGGAGCCCGGTGTGCCCGCGTGGAGCAAGAGGGTGGATGCCTTCGGGGTGCTCGTTGTGGCAGGATGGGGGCCGGGCCACCACCGCGTCCGCGAGTCGGGGATATCCCGCCTCGAGGTGCCGTCCTGGGGTGCTCAAAGCCCAGGCAGCCCCCAGTGCTCCGGAGGTCCCGCGAACAGGCGAGCCCTTGTGTGGCTTCAGTGTGCCTCTGGGGAAGCCCTTTGCTGTGGTGTCTGGTCTAGAAGGTGCCTGCTGGGTCACGCAGGACCTTGATACCATGTGTGCTCCGAGAGTGAGGATGTGGAACTGAAAGCAGTAACACCTCAGGGAGGCTTCTGAGGAGTGGGGTTAAACCTGGGCTGCTGCTGTGCCCCAGTCTCCAGCCCACTCAGGGGAACACGGCAGCCGAGCAGAGTCTTGAGGGGGACAGAATAAACCCCCTGTGGGGCAGACCCCTCCTGCTCTGTCACTCCCCCTTCCCTGACAGCAGTCACAGACAAGGTTCCTTAGAGTTCAGCCGGTGGCTTTTGCTTGTTTTTCCTTTTTCCTCTCAAAACAAAGAGAGAAATTTGCTTTCAGCTTTCACAGTAGTGTAGTAGGTGGAAGTGAGGTTAAGAAGAAGACTTGTGTGTGGCACAGAACTCGCTCTGGTGACATCTCACTGTGCTTGCTGATGCCCATCACCCAAAAGTGACATTTCAGCTTCTTGCTGCTGGGCTGACCCTCTTTCAGCCTCCTCCTGAGGCTGAGCAGTGTTCCCCAGGATCCAGGTGCCCTTCCTGCCCCCAGTGTGCCTTTGCCATGAACACTGAGGAGGAAGTGGGGCTGAAGGAGATGGTTTGGGAGGGCACCAACCTGCAGGCAAGCTGGATTTAGGACCAGGTGGGCTGCAGTGCCAAGGCCATGGCTGCTTCCACTTGCTGACCAGGGCTGTGGAGGCTGAAGGAAGGTGGGCAGTGGGAGGGTGCCCAAGGAGGGTGTTGGACACACATTGAGCCATGGAAGGTCCTTTTGGGACCCTGGAAACCAGAGCCTAGGGAAGCACAGTCCCACGTGCAGATGTCTCTGTGCAGTGCTAAGCTTCACTGGGACTGGGGGGGGCTGAACTGTGTGGTGGGAGGGGCTCTGGTAAGAGGACATCAGCCAACCAGGGCTCTGTTCCCAGTCCGACTGACTGTGTTTCCACTGTCCCACTGTGTCTGGAAGCAGCTGGGGAAGCAGAGCTGCCTGCCTGACTTTGACACAGCCCATGCCTGTCCCCTGCTTCATGGAGATGTGCAGCTGTGCCCTGTGTGCAGCAGGGAGTTGAGGTGCACAGCCCTGACATAGCAGGGCCGTGAGCCCCGCTGCCCTTGCCAGCCCCTGTGCCCGCCACCAGGGCAGCAGTGTCATTCCAGAGTAGGTTGTGAAGGAGTGCAGCAAGAGAGAGCAACCCCCAGACCAGCACTGGAGCTTATCTTGGCCAAGGACATGCTGGAAACCCCCCACGCCACCACTCAGGCTCCCCATTGGCCATTGAGCAGCCGGGATGCTGCCGCAGCCGCAGGGCTCTTCACTACTTGCTTTTCTCTGTGCCAAAAACAAGCTCTCTCTCCCTCTGTGTCTGTGTCGTGCATGGGGGGTAGCTCTGGCCATGCAGTGGAGGGACAGTAATGGGGGGGTAGTGTGGATGGGCTCTTCTGTAGCCAGCTCCAGGAGAGAAGGTGGCTGCAACAGCAAGAGCCGTTGGCATTACAGTCCCTGTGGGGAGGGAGAGGCAGGCTGAGCTGTGGCGGGACAGTGGTGCTGTGCTGGTTTAATGTCACTTGTGCAGGTCATGGTAGGAGCCAAGCAGGCTGCAATTCCCCTCCCACCCCTTCTAGCAAGTCCATGGGTGCAGTGGTTGCCCCAGCCCTGCTCGGTGCCTCCTTTCTTCCCTCTCCCAAAGCAGATGGTGAGGGAGTGAGCTGGGGTTGTGCTGTGCCGGCTTGGGGCATGGGGAGGACTGGGGGCTCCTGTAGCCCTGTGCAGCCCCCCCAGCAGAGGTTGGGGTGCCGTGACCCAGCTGTCCTTCTCACAGGATCCAAGGTGCTGGTGTCTTACCCTGCCTGGAGCCTGAGGTCCCGTGTGCCCATCCGCCTCCCGACGTCACCAATGCGACCATGGGAACTGGCAGTGAATAGGCGGCCGCCCTCTGCCCCTTTTGCCCAGCGCCGTTTCTCGGGGGGACCCTGCAGCAGCCCCGACCACCTCCGGCGAAGGTACGGGGTGCAGTGTGGAGCCCTGTCCCCCACAGCCGGTGGGGACGTAGGGTTGGTTCTCTGGCCCTGCTGGGGCAAGGCACCGTCTCCCGAGGGACTTGGGGGGAGATTGACAGGGAAGCACATCCACTTGGCCTGACTGAGGGGTCCCTGGGGAGCAGAGGGTCCTTTCTGTGCTGCGGACACTGAGAGGGCACTCGCAGAGTGAGCAGAGAAACTGTTTGTGGAGCTGCCCAGCCTGATGTGGCCTGGCACAATGCCCTGAGCGTCTCGCCCTGGGCACTGCGTTGGCACTGACCCACCTGTAGCCACCCTACCTGGGGCTGCGGTGCCCCTGGCCTGGGGGTCACTCCTGCTCTGTTTTTCTCCTGCGGTGGCCCCGCAGCCCCCCTGCCAGGCGTCAGTGGGGACGACGCGACAGACCTCTGGCTACCCTGCTGGGCCAGGATGAGCCCCAGCTGCACCCTGCCTTCCCCCAGCAGCCGCACATCCCTGTAGATGAGCCCCGTGCCTACGCTCTTCCCAGCTCGCCGCCACGAATGCTTCACCCAGCTGCTCACCCGCCCCACCAGAACCCATTCATGGTGGATCTGCATGACCAGGTAGGTACTGCAGCCCCAGCCCCACTCCTAAGTGTGGCCCTGGACTGGTGTCTGGGGTGGTGACATGTCCCTGGGTCCCCTCTGACCACTTGCTGCTGGGAGCACACAGCCCTGAGCCTGTCGGTGTTCTTGTCCTCTGAGCACTTAAATCCTGGGGTCCCTGTACCAGCTTGGGTGTGCCCAGGGTGGTCCCTACTCCCAGGGACTGGGGATAGTCCCCTCATAGGGTTGTTCATGTTATAACTGTCACTGTCATCTATGGTGGCAGCGCTGGCTTGGAGGCTGTGCCAGCTTGTCTGTGGGGAGCAAAAACTTTGTGAAACTGAGCCTGCGCTCGGCCCTCTTCTCTGGCCACCACCAGTGGGACAGAGGTGCCAGGAGTTGTGTTCCAGGGCTGGGTGCTCAACACCCTGCTGTCACCCTGTCAGGATGGGGACGGCTCAGCCAGGGCTGTGTCCTGACAGTGCCCTTGACGCCTCATCCTCAGGTGCACCAGGGACCTGTCCCTCTCTCCTACACGGTTACCACCGTCACGACGCAAGGCTTCCCCATCCACGCTGGCCAGCACATCCCTGGGTGCAGCACCCAGCAGCTCCCAGCATGCTCAGTGATGTTCAGTGGACAGCACTACCCGCTCTGCTGCCTCCCACCCCCGGTGAGTCATGGCAGGGGACACCTGGGGACAACCTGGACGGTGGGTGCCCAGAGGTTATGTGGGTACTCAGGCCCACTGGAGTGCAAATGTCTGAGGGCACAGGGTCTGTTGGAGGCCCTGGGGAGGGGGCAGGGGTATCTGACCCCATTTTTTCTCTCTGTGTCTCCCCACAGCTGATTCAGGCATGTGCCATGCAACAGCTTCCCGTCTCCTACCAGACATTCCCCCCCATCATCTCCAGCGACCATTACATCCTGCACCCGCCCCCGCCGCCAGTGCCCCCTCACCAGCCGCCCCACATGGCCCCCCTGGGGCAGTTTGTACCTCTCCAAGCCCAGCATCCACGCATGGTGAGTTGGGGTGGGGGTACGGGTTTGGGATGTGATGCACCCAATGAACACCACCTTGGGGTCTTGTCCTTCTGCAGCCCCTGTGGGTCTGAGCTGGGGGTGGTGGGTGAGGGTGCCCAGGGTCCTGGCAGTGTTGGGGAAGTGTCGATGGGATGCTTCTCCCAGCCTAACTGTTTCCCCCGCAGCCTCTGCAGAGGATAGACAATGATGTGGACCTGCGCGGGGAGCAGCACCCCATCGCAGGCTTCACATACCCCCCGTCTCACCACGCCCCCACGCTGTCGCCCTCCATGCCGCTGCATTACCTCCCCCACGACCCGCTGCACCAAGAACTGCCATTTGGTGTGGTGAGTCCCTGTCCTGTGGAGGGGTTGGGGACACTGTGGGGCTGGCACGGCTCTGAGTGCCCTGTCTCTCCCTGCAGCCATACCCCCACATGATGCCCCGGCGGCTGAACACTCAGCGGTACCGGCTGCAACAGGCACTGCCCCCACCGCCACCCCCTCCACCGCCGCCTCCGTACTATCCGAGCTTCCTGCCCTATTTCCTGTGAGTACCAGGGGGATACTGTATAGGGCAGGGGTGGTGCTGTGGGTGGGGCCCACAGTGGCATGGTGTTGGCACAGATGGCTCTGCCCCCCTGGGGATGTCAGGGTGGAGGTTGGGGTTTGTGGCCCCACACCGACTATCCCATCCTTCCCCCTAGCTCTATGCTTCCTGTGTCACCGACGGCCGTGGGACCCACGATCAGCCTAGACCTGGATGTGGATGATGTGGAGATGGAGAATTACGAGGTGCGTTGGCTCAACTTCCCCACAGGATGATGGGATTGAGGGCTGGGGGTTGTGGTGATCACTCTGCCGGCAGGGGAGAGCCTGGAGCGGTGCTGTGCTGGGACGTGAGATGAGCTAAGCCATCCTCTGCATCTCCTTCCAGGCACTGCTGAACTTGGCCGAGCGGCTGGGGGAGGCCAAGCCACGGGGACTCACCAAAGCAGACATCGAGCACCTCCCGTCCTACCGCTTCAACCCTGAGAGCCACCAGTCTGAGCAGACCCTGTGAGTGAGCCCGGGGTGCACGTGGGAGTCTGTTGAGGGGCTGGGGGCCAGGGCTGGTGGTGGGGCCATGGCTGGAGGTGGGGTCCTACTGATGGCTGCCTCCCCCAGGTGCGTCGTGTGCTTCAGTGACTTTGAGGCCCGGCAGCTTCTCCGCGTCCTGCCCTGCAACCACGAGTTCCACGCCAAGTGTGTCGACAAATGGTTAAAGGTACTGCCTGTACCCTCTGTGAGGAGTGTGGTGGCTTCTTGGAGTATTGAGGGCACCAAGTGCTGCCTTTTGGGTGGCCTCAGTGCCCTGCAGCACAGGATGGATGCACTGGGAACTGGGGCCAAGCACTCTGCCGGGCTGGATTAGGCACTCCCGGGATGTGGTTCCAGCCCTTGCCGGTGGGGTGTGGGTGCAGCTGGTGCCATGGGGTGTCTGCTCACTTGCCCCTGTCTCTGGTTGCCTGCAGGCGAACCGCACGTGCCCGATCTGCCGGGCGGACGCGTCGGAGGTGCAGCGGGAGGCGGACTGAAGCTGGCGGGCGCTGTGCCGCACAATTCGCTAGAGGACGAGGTTGCCGGGCCGGGGCGAGGGCCGCTGCCCGCTGCTGGGGCCTGACCCTGCGCTTACCCCCCTCCCCAAAGCCTCTCCTCGGATGTGGTGAGCATTGAGCAGTCCGGGCTCCCGGCCAGCCCTCCTCCTCCCCGCCGGGGCACGGACTCGGCCGGACGCCTGCCCGCTGCGCTCCCAGGGTCCCGAATCGTGTTGTGCTGGAGGCGGGAGGCGCGTGGCCGTGCCCTCCGCGCTCCAAAGACGCTGTTGTTGCTCCATCACTTTTCCAGGTCTTTGTACTCTGCTAGGGAATTAGTGGTTTTTCCCTTTGTCACTATTTTTTTTTTTTTTTTTTACAATATTTTTTTTCCTGTTTCCATTTCCGTCACAATTTTGGTTCCATGACCGTTTTCCCCAGGGGTGCGCAGGCGGCTCCTCCCCTCAGCGTTGCTCGAGGAGGACACAGGGAGGAGAGAGGAGGGAGCGCTGTGGGTTTGATGCTGCGGCACCCCAAGCCGGAGCGCTGGGCCGGCCCCGGGGACGGCCAGAGGAGGTGCCTGGCGGAATGTGGCCAAGGTGGGACACCAGCAACCCTGCAGCAGGGCCGGGGCAGGAAGGCAGGAACGTCTGTCCCTGCTCTCATACGCAGCCCGGCTCAGCCCTTTTCCTGCCTCAGGTGCCCTGGGAAGCCCCAGAGGGTTATGGCTGCTTAGGGTCTTTCACCAGTGGGAGGACAGTGCTGGCACGGCCCTGGCCCCTCTCCCTGTTCATTCCCCTGTGCCTGGCTGGTGCAGCTCCCGGGGCCAAGTCATGTGGCATCCTATGAGGCAGCCAGGCCTGAGGGGGCATGCCCGCCCTATCCTGTGGCCATGGGCTTGTGGTGTCCCCGGTGTGCTGCCTGGCCCCTGGCTCCTGCTCTCGTTTCCCTGTCCCGACTATGTAAATCAAGGTAGCCCCGTGCCCCGTCCTGCTGGCTGGACGGTGTGGTGCGGTGTCCCTGGCCGGTGGGCAGCAGGGGCTGGCTAGGCTGCAGCGGGTGCCCCCCCAGCCCCCGGAGCAGGGAGTTTTATTCATAACCTCGTGGTGTATTTTCAGTGCTACCCTGGCCCTGCCCCGGCTGGCGCTGGGGGAGCTGTGAGCAGCCCCCCTGTTGCCATATCCCCCCTGCCCATGCGGGGCCGGGTGACAGGGCTGGGGGAGAATCTGCCACACCGCCGCCTGGCTCCATCAATCCCGCGTGGCCGTTGTTTTGCATGATTAATTAGCGAGGAGGGTGACGGGAGGCGGTGGCGGGGGTGGTGGTGAGAGCACCGCCCTCCCCTCGTGGCGCATCGCTGACGCCTGGGAGCCTCCGAGCGGACGCCAGCCCTATGTAAATGTTCACAAATATGCATGCATGTCTGACCAGCTTGGAACGTGGTCTTGGCTACGTCTAGCCGGCTGTGGGGTGAGGGGGGGTGGGGAGAGGGGTTTTTGTGCTCAGCTGATACTGCCATGCACTGTACTGCACATGTCCGCAACGCCACAGCAGGACCGTGAGACTTTCAGGGCCGTCCCTGCGGGGTCCGCGCCCCTCCAGGCGGGAGGCGGTGGCGGGGGTGGGGAGCGCCCGCGGTGGCGGCGTGTGCAGGGGGCCGGGGTGGGATGGGGCCGCTCCCCGCAGGGCGGGGGGCAGGCGCGGGGCTGGCCCTGGGCCGGGTGCGAGGCGAGGGGCTGTGCCCGGCACGTGGGTGGGCACGACGGCGCCTGCAGGGCAGTGCCAGCCACCAGTGGGGCCGGCCCTGGTCACTGCCTGGTTGGGCACGGGGCCAGCAAGCGGCGTGGGGCGACAGCCAGTCCCCTCGCTGCCCTTTCTCACCTCTGTGGCAGCCATGCTCCGGGGGGAGCGTCAAGGCCGAGGGTCCCGGCCTGGCGCCACCAGCTCCGCCGCGGCACCGCTGGGCTCGGTGCCCCTTGGGCAGGACCCCGGCCCCCTCCCCGTCCCTCACTCAGTGACAGATAACCAAAGGAGTCCCCGTGCCGCGCGGTGGCCTCGCGCCCCCGGAGACGCCCCCCTCCTCCCCTCCCGCCCTCGCGGTGCCCAGGGAGCCAGGAAAGCCTTACGGTCCTTTGACGGCGACTCGAAAGCTCACAGCTCGTGTGCTGCAGAATTTATTCCAATGAGCAGCTAAAAGTATCATTTAAAAAAAAAAAATGACAAAAAGAAAAAATGACAAAAAAAATACTAAAAAACAATTATTTAGGGTGTTTGTGATTGCTGACTGCGCTGTAGATACCACTGTTTACCAATGAATTCCTGTGGTGGGATAGTGGACTGTTTACTGTTCTATTATACCAGTCCCCGGGCCCTCCGGTGGGACCCCCGCGGCCCCCGCGGCTCCCCGGAAGGTGCTAGGACGTGTGTTCTGTGTTAGAAAGTTTTTATATATATATATATATATATAAATATATATATATAATTTTTTTTGCTCTGTTACTTGCACATTTTACAGTTACCTCATTTTTCCCATGTATGTATTTGAAAAAAGGCTAATATATAGAAAAAAAAGGTTCTTAAAGCTCTAAAAGTGTTTGTTTTTTTCCATTCCATTGGAATCATATTGGTTTTGTAGCATTTAACATAACTAGTATGTTGTATTATATATATGTGTATTATACTGATTGAAATTTTTAACAGATTTGTACTTTTTTTAAAATGAAAGTTGCTAGTTCTGCTTGACCAAGTAGTGCAATCATTATTTTTTTTAATGTTGTGGCTGATTTTGAGAGGGATATTCACTAATAAATGTATGATGTATACCAACATGCTGTGCCCAGCTCTTGTCTCCATGGGGGCTTCAGAAGGGATGGTGTCCCCGGGCTGTCACTGCAGAGGTGAAGGGAAAGCAGCTGGAAGAGCCCCAGAGAGGGGCTTGGAGGAGAGTCCAGGGGAGCCTGAGGGTGGAAGCAAGAGCTGCTTCCCACCAACCATACCGTTCCCAGGGCTGGAACGGGAACAACGATATGCACTGGCAGCGTAGAAAGCCAGCTCTGTCCTGGGCCGCACCCAGAGCAGTGTGGGCAGCAGGGCAGGGGAGGGGATTCTGACCTTCTGCTCTGCTGAGACCCAACCTCGAGTGCTGCATCCAGCTCTGAGGTCCCCTCCACGAGGACACAGAGCGCTTGGAAGCGTGGCCAGAGGAGGCCAGGGAGTAGATAAGGGGACAAGAGCACCTGTCAGGAGACAGCCTGAAAAAGTTGTATTGTTCAGCCTGGAGAAGACAGGGTTGTGTGGAGAACTTGCAGCCCCCTCCAGTATCTGAAGGAGCTACAAGGAAGCCAGAGAGGGACTCTTCCATCAGGAACAGTAGTGACAGGACAATAGGGAATTGGTTCACACAGGAACAGTAGGTTTAGATTCGATAGTAGGAAAAAATTCTTTCCTGGGAGGGTGAGAAGCCCTGGCACAGGTTGCCCAGAATTGTGGCTACCCCATCCCTGGAAGTGTTCAAGGCCAAGTTGGACAGGGCTTGGAACAACCTGGTCTACTGGACAGTGTCCTTGCCCAGGGCAGAGGGTTGGAATGGGCTTATCTTTGACATCCAACCATTCTGTGATTCTAAGGCAGCTTGGCTACCTGTCCAGAACAGGTGGGAAGGGAAGGAACAAGCTCCTATCACTGCCCCTGTGGGCAGGAGCTGATGGCACCGCTCCACAGCCATGACCAAGCCTGTGGCAGGGAAGAGCCCTGTACCTGCCCTCAGCTGTTTCACCCCCTCCCCCTGGCTCCTGGAGGTTAGACCCAGCCCTAAGAGCTCAGGGCCAGCTCTCTCCCAGCCTCAGCCCTGAGCCAATGCCCCAGGAGGCTGGAGAGCAGCACACCCAGCCCTGCCATGCCCCACGCTGGGCACTCTTCTCACACAGCACCTCCCCCTGGCACAAAATCACCATTTCAAGGCCAGAAGCTGAGTGCACCCACAGTTCCATGAGCCACAATGCCCAGAGCAGCTGACCCCCTCCCCAGGGCACAGGCAGAAAGCATGGGCACAGACATGCTAGAGGCAGAGTTTATTACACTACGCAGGCTAAGAACCCTGGGCAAGACCCCACACGGGTAAGAATCGAACCAGCTCTTTATCAAAAAGTTAATACTATAGTCAACCCCATTCTCCTTTGGTCATTACAAAGCAAGAGAAATATTAAAGAACAGTATTTATACAGAGAGGGAAGCTGAAAAGATTGTGTCCAGCCCTTTCCCCCCACCCCACTCCCAGCACGTTCCGGTGCTCGGTCCTGTGTCTCTCGGGAGCAGCAGAGTATCAAATCTTCACACGATGTCAGGTTGTCGGGGTTTTATTATTATTGTCATCAATAAAAGCAGTAATTACCAAGAGCTGCCATTCCTGTTCCTCCCCAGGGAAGGTGGAGGGGCAACACCAGCTCCCCCCTCTCTGCCCCCCCGGTGCAGGGGATGGCCGTGCGCACGCGTCCTCTCGCCAGCGCACACACGCAGCACAGCTGGCACGGGCCATGTGGTCTCTGATCCCTCGTTTGTACGCAGTCTTTTAAAAAAAATATTGTATTATAATAATAATATGAATTTCTCTTTCCGTTTTGTGTCTTCTGGAAAAAAAACAAAACAAAAACAAAACCAAAAACAAAATAACCAAAAACAAAACCAAAAGAAGTGTCAATCGTCCGTGAGGTCCTGCACAAAGAGGACTTCCGTGTGGCTGAGTCCGGCCTCCTGCAGCGTGGGGGGGTTGGGCCACTCCTCTGTAGGGAGGCAGGGCAGGACACGGCGAGGGAAGTTGGCCTCAATCTGGAACTTCTCAGGGCTTTCTTTCAAGGAGAACAGGAAGTCATGGATCACCTGGGAAAGAAGCACAGAAATAACTGCCAGCTGGGGGAGCAGTGACAGCCACACGGAATCCCTGGCATCTCGCAGGGGAACGCTACCAAATTTGCACCATCACTGCATTGTAGACCTGAGACAGCCATTTCCTTGGCACACTTGAAACTGGAGTTGTCACAGAGCACCCAGGGAGTGCAGATACTGTTTCTGGCTTTTCCCACACCATTATTTAATAAGGAGCAATGGAATCATACAAAAATACGTGTTGGAAGGGACCTTAAAGATCATCTAGTCCTACCCCACCACCATAAGCAGAGACACCTTCCACTAGAAGTTTCAGCTTTTGGTGAGAAGGAAAAAGTTTCTTTCATTTTTTCCTCTCTCCCAAGCTGGTGGGACTAGGCCCCACAACACCTCTCCTTACCCAGGAGCAGCTATGCCTGCTAAGGCTCTCAGCAAAGGTCACCATTTGTCACAGTGCAAGGGAACCAAAGCTTTGCTGAGCCACATGGAAGTCTCCTGATTCCCTCACTCTGGAACACCCATCAGCTCTGCCCCAAGCTCACCGTCAGTGACTGTGTGAAGTGGAATCGCCGCTCCACTCTGGAATCGTTAGGCAGCTTGAAAATGATCTTGACGCTCTCCGGGTCATCGGGATGTGGCTCGGGAGGAAGGCATTCCGACTTCCGCTCCTTCTCCTCCTGCAGCGTCTGCAAAGCAAGGAGGGAGCAGGAGCAATGGCTGTGCCCTGAGCTGACCTTTATGCCTGTCCCCTCAGCAGAGCTGCTCTGGGAGGCTTGAGTGTCCCTCGAGCCCCGCACAAGACCAGCAGCTCTGATGTGACGAGCAATTCCTCCCGCAGGGCACGGCAGCCTCTCCAGCAGCCCCTCCGCTCTCACCTGTCGCCGCCTCTCCTCTGCTAGCTTTTGCTGCTGCACTTCCTCCTCTTTCTTCTTCTTCCTCTCCCGTTCCTCCTTCTTCTTGCGCTCCTTTTCCTGGTCCGCACGTAAGGATGCCAGATATGCCTCGTCCTGCTGCTGCCTCAGGACTTGGGTTTGGTTTCTCTCTTCCCTGCAAACGCGAGTGGGAAGGGATCAGGGCTCATGGGCCCTAAAGTGAGGGCTTGATGAGCTGAGGGTAGACCTGAGGGTGCAGGGACGGCCTCAAACTCATAGGAACACACAGCAAGTAATGCCTCGGAGTACCGGGAGCTCCCAAAAGGCAGAGCTGGGTCCTCACAGCCCCTCACACACAAACTGCTTCCCCAGGGTGGGTGGAACTGAACTCAAAAGGCTTCTCAGGCACTGCAGCTCAGCGGAGCTGACAGACGGCACAAAAGCAGTGCCCAGGATTTCTGTCTCATACTTGAAACTCTTATGAGTTTTATCTCCTTCAGGTAATTCCTTGCACTTTTCAGAAACCAGAACGTGTTACCAGGTCCCCACAGAGACCGTGGGGCAGAGGAGGAGCAGATGGAACGTGGGATCCTACTTTGGATGCAGCCTGCACATCCCTAAGAGTCATGAGAGGCTTGTGAGGCCCCACTAGAAGAGCAGCCAGAGCTCATCACAGACAGCCTAGGCAGCAGCACACACCCACCAACCAGCTGCAGACACCAGCTCTCCTGCCTGCAATGCCTTTGCTCCCACTTGGATCCTACTGGTTAGTGTCCAAGCTCTCCCTGCAAAGCTCCAGCACACCAAAGGTGTGCCCCAATTGCAGAGAACAGAGCACTCACACCCACCTTTCAGTGGTGGGACTGTGTACCCAACACATCCATGTCCCTGGCTATAGGGTGGCCTGAATTTCTGGACTGATTATCCCATTGGGAAGGCGAGAGCTGGGGGCCATGTTACAGATCAGGAGATGCTGATCAGGGTGTCTGGCAGGAGGAAGGGGACAGAGAGCAGAGCTTGCCTCAGCAAGGTCTGCGTGACTGGAGCTCAGGTCCCATCCTACCTTTCCAGGCGTTCAGACACCAGGTACGTCTGGTTGGCATCCATGATGAACATCAGCTGGTTGATGAGGTCATCAGCCTGGATGAGACCTTCCAGCCGCCCAACCACGGTCATCCTGCGGTCCTTCAGCATGATCACGGCCAGGAATGGGTACGTGTTCTCCCGCAGGGCCTGGGACACTGGGAACAGCCACAAACATCACTGCCACCTCCAGAAGGGTCAGCAAGGGGTACAGCACAAACTCTTCCCATCACCATGGGCCAAAGAAAGCAGCTTCCACAGACAATCTCTCCTCCAAGGCAGAAAAGGCCTCAGGCTCTGTTTTGTCAAACTAAACCCTATCACTTAGCAAAGGGAGGAAGTGCCTTGGAACACAGGGACTGAAGGGAAAAAACAAGCCTTCAAGTAACCAAAAAGGCACTTTAACTCAAGCAGGAAGGAAGTAAATGGCTCTGAATGTCCATTCAGAATGGGACAAAGCCCTGGATTTAAATGGCAGGAAGAGAAACACAGGTCAGACTCAGTGAAACGCTAAGGTGATTAGGGATGGCTGGACTTCAGAAGATGGTAATGTCCATTCTGGATATTTCTAAACAAACCTAGGTTGGTTTTGTTGGAGCCAGGCTCTGTCTGAAAGAGGGAATGGAGCAGATTAGAGGCTTTAAGTTACTAATCATGTATGGCTGTTGATCCCTTCCTTAAAACATCCTGTAACTTGAGCCATCATTACCAATGGAGACCTCCAAAGGAAATCAGGGCACCCCACAATCCCTTCCAGCTCTGCTTTCCAGGCTGTGACTCCAGAGCACTGCAGCAACACAACAGCAGTAAATCAAAGACTGTCTCCACAGAGAGCCATCCTCTCAAGGTGCCAATAGCTGGGAGCTGAACTGTGGAGCCAAGAGTGAGCCAGATTTAGTCCAGAACTCCTGGACTCCCTACCATGAAACAGGAAGGGTGAAAGGGACACAGGAGGCAAGAAGAGAACTTTGGGAAAAGACTCCAATTACAGCAAAACCTTACCAAAATGCTGTCAAGCCAGGTACCAACAGCTCTAGAAAGACTTAAAAGGACCTCAAAGTGGACTTTTGAAGAGACACAGAGACTGGATGTGAAGATGACTGTCTCAGAAAGAGAAAGAATGCACCTAACAAGTCTGTCCTGGCCTCAGGCATCACAGGAGCCAGTGCTAAGGACACAGCTAGTTGGATATTTGTTTCTGCACTCAGTTTATCCCCAGCACACACCCACCAACTCCCACCGACAAGGCATTGAAAGCAGCTTGAATGTCCACAGCAAAGAGCACACAACTAAGACTGACTCAGAAACATACGGAACAGAGGAGGTGAACATCACCATGTATTTGGTGGCCCTGGTGGCCAAACAGGCCCTCTGAGATATCCCACAGAAACCAATATGTATTTTGCCACGCAATTCCAAAATATCTCGCCTGCTTGCACAGAACCCAACAGGTGTGTTTGACACCCGTAAATTTGTCAAAGGGCATTTGGCTTGTTCCAGAGACAAGAGGGAAGAGGTAAAGCCCGTGAGGGACACACTCACCTCTGTATCCCTCTGGTTTGTTGGTTGAGCAAGCCCAGAAGAGCATCCTAGTGTTGATGAGGGTGATGACCTCGGGTGCACACAGTGTATTGCTGGGGGATGAGAAGAGACTATGTTAGTGAAGCTGCACTTACAAGTATAAAAACAACTATTTGGAAAGCTCTCCTACCCACCGGCAAAACTCATCTGTGTCTTGGTGGTCATCTCCATGAAGATAAACCAACAGGAAGCGCAGCTCCCGCTTGGCATCGTTCAGTGCCTTGGCATAAGAGGACAGGAAGTGAGGTTACAGGGTCTCTGGGCAAGAGGAAAGCAGCACCCACAAGGCTTGTGTGACCCAAGCCATTACTCTGCCACCAGTATGGTTTTAACAAAGCAGCAGTGGAGGGTGAACCTCTCAGACCTTCTGGATAAACCCTCATTTGAGAGGGCGACAGTGGTGTTTTTTCACATCCTCTCAGGATGTGAACACTGAACTCAGAGTGAATCCAGGTAGGCAACCAAAGTGATGGACACCCCAGCTGTCTTGCCAGACTCAGCTGGCAGTGAAGAACCCTCCTTCACCCCTCAGACTCACAGCAGCCAAGGCTGAGGTTTCCACTCGAGTCTGTACAGGACACAATCTTCAGATCACACCAAATGAAAATTCTACTAAAAAAAGGTAATGCAACAATGCTGCAGGCCCCCTCAAAAAGCCCTAAGGAAAAATACATCCCTTTTTTGCATCTACAGTCTCTGGATTCCACCCACCCAAGAGCACTTCTTAACAAGACCACAGGATAAGTGCACAATAAGCTCCCTGTTTTACTGGTACTGAGTTTCGGTAGCCTAATCATTTCAGGGTTATTTAAGTTTGGATTCCTGGCAAGACGGAGGAGCCTGGAAGAGCTGCGGAGGCGATGAGCTCCATCTCCGTGCAGCGCAGAGCAGACACGAACTCCACATTCTTCCCTGGCACTTGGGAAGCAGTGCTGATCCAACTGTCTGCTGCGATGCACTACAGAAGGCCCTTCCCTTGGCCAGGCTGAGAGAAGTTGTGGAAGAGGCAGTGTCCATGGGGACACTTCGTCTTCTACAGGGAGCACCCCCAGATTTGATATATGGAACACTCATCTCCCAGAATTTCTTGGGGGCTCCCTCTCAATTTTGAGGCCCTGCATTGTTCTGAAGTTGCATTATGATACAAGCCCAGGCAGTCAATTCCAATTTGGTGAACAGAAGGACAGACTCTGGCACAGCACACCAGTTTATAAAAACAAAGGCAGGATTACAAAGAAAAACCGTCGGCTACAGTCACACAGACGGTCGAGGAACAGCCAGAGCAGCTCTGCTTTCCAACTTGGCAGGCTTGGCAAAACATCAAGCCTGGCAGACACTGGTTTTCTAACACACTTGTTCACTACCTCTCCATTACCCTATTAAGAGAGTTTGGGACAAATGCTGGGCTTTAGATGAAAAGCAATTTTGCCATGTAGGCCCTGATACCATCTGGCAAAATCCCCACTCTCCACCTCCCCAGGATCTATGCACCAACACGTGACACTGACCTGGCTGTAAGTTCCCTGGTAGAAGACAGGGTGTATCCTCCCATATTTTTCCTCAAACATATGAATAAACGAAATAATGTCACCCACTGGGTCAGTGACCCGACTACGAGGATCGGGGCGTATAAAACGCAGAGCAAACCTAGGAAGGAAGCAAAGGACACTGCAAATTCAGCTCACTGACTTTCTGAAAAACAGGTTTTCTTTTCCACAGACAGACACTGGGATTCATAAAGAGGAAAAAAGTCACAGCTGAGACGCTTGAACTTTTGTAATCTCAACCTAAACTGTCACCTGCTCCAAACTGATACCACTGCTACAGAAACACCCCCCAGTCACATATCTCGTGCCAGGCACCAGCAAGGATCGAAATTCTGTGATTAAACAGTTTCAACTTCCTCTGAAGCGTCAGACATAAGCCACACCAACAGTAGGAGGTTCAAGGAATTTAGTCAAAGATGGGCTGTTAAAAGCCACACGGTTTTGTCCAGATAACATTGAGAACTGCATTTCTGCTTATGCAGAACTAACAGTTCTGGGGTGCAAAGAGCTGCAGAAAGAGAACATTAAACCAGGAGCACAGTGAAACCGTCATTCCTCTGAGGCTGAAAAAAACTTCACTGAAAGGCAGATATCAGTGTTGTTTGGTTCTACTGATGCACAGAAGATAAAGACATTTCCAAAGTTCTGTGTAACAGGAAAAGAAAGGTAAAACAACAGGGGAAACTGCCAAAGCAGTGCAGACGACAGGACTGCTGGCTATTTACTACATTTACCATTCCCTTTTCCCTTTATCAGTGTAAGGAGGCAAGAGGAATTAGCCCTGTGGGGTGGTAAAAGGACAAGAGGAGACAGACACCAAAGGGGAAAAGGCAGAAGTGTTTACAGTTTGGGTTTTGCCAAATAACAGAGGGATTAGGGCAGGTTAACCTGCAGCCCAGCCCAAAGGGACACAATTCTGATGTTTGTACAAGAATATCAGCCAGCAGGACACTGTTTTGCAACCCCTTTGTGCGGCACTCAGACTGCAAAGCTGTGTGGAGTTAGAACTCCAACTAAATACTTCATTTATAGAGCTGCAAGGTGCTCTTTTTCTCTGCAGTAAGATTTATTTGTTACTAAACCACGTAGGAACTTTACAAGGCTACAGATAATGCCACTTGAGCAAACAAATGGAAAATCTGCCATGAGACTTCAAGATGCAAGTGACAGAGGTACAGCTGGATCTGAGCTAGCATGTGCCTTCACGCAGTCAATGTGAGTCAGCACAAACAAGTACTTACCTAAATATATCAAGTAATGTGTAATAGGTAAATCGGAATGGAAGCATTATGAAGTAGTAACCCCATCCTAACAGGCCCTGCAACGACAAATAAAGAATTAGAACAGTCTCCACACCTGGAACAGCCCCACTCCAGCAAAGTGCCCACTGGCACCAAGCATCATGTTGGGTATCGGTGTTCCAACCACGGAAAAAAACAGCTCAGCAACAGTTCGTGGCTTCAGACATGTCAAATCAAATGTGAGTAACGTGGTTCACTCAGAATTCAATGTGACACATCTGAAAACTGGCCTCACTGACTAATGCTTTTGCTCTGTGCTGATTTTCTTAACTATTCAAAGAGATTATGGCACTGAGTCTTACAGGTGCTCCAGCAAATTAATTTCTGAAACATTAAAGCAAGTAATTGATGCTGTATTCTAATTAATACACATTTAAGGGGAGGCTCCAATAAGAAAAACATTATCACTGCCAGATGGAGGGGACTGTCCTTTGTTCCAATTGAACTGATCAAAAGGCTTTACTACACCCCAGCAAATGGTCTATAACACAGAAAAAGGTCCTCACACTCAAGTGTGAATTGCCACGGGGAAAGCCTCTGCAGCAGCAACAGAGGCCGAAGGAACAGCTCTACATTTTGTTTTCAGAAGATAAAATATTTAGAAAGGAGATTACAGCATGCAAAGAAAACAACTCTTTTCCCTGCTTGCAAGTTCTGCTATTCACGAAGAATCACCCAAGAAGCAGGACAAAATCCACTGTAAGATAACTTGCCCTTGGCTGTGGCCTTGAGACAACGTAGCTGTAGATCCTGTGGTCGGCTGTATTGACCTGCAACGGCCGCGATGGAGGAGGATTAAAGACACTTGGGACACCCTCTTGCTCATTCAGTCGGTCCTGCACAGCTGCCTTTGACACAAGAAAGAGCAAAGGGAGGTTTCAAACATTTCATCTTTTCTATACTTTGGACACTAGCAGTGGGTATTCCCTGTCCAGAGCCTGGAGCACTGGATAAGCACAAACAGCAACCACCAGTGCTCTTCTCCATATGGAAAGCCTTCTCCACAGCAGCCAGCACACAGGCTCCATGGGAGGCCACACGAGGTGCCAGTCAAGGGATTGTTTGCAGCTGTAATGACTCTGCTGCATTTGGCTGAAACCTCTCCAGATGCGTGGAGATGCTGCTTTAAAGAGCTACTTGAGTAAATTCAGGGGTGGACAGATTCCTCTTACTGGTAGGGCTCCCCCTCCCCACAGAGGGCTCTGTTTAATCCAGCTACTTGGAAACTGCTACAAATCTTATTTTCAGTGGTACCTCTATGTTCCAGTTGTGCTGCTCCAGTGTGTGGCGACATTGGTCCATGGACTCTATGCCAGTCAAGTCCTAAAGAAGGAGAGTAAAAGCAGATGAGTGCCAGGGAAGTGTTGGATTTTTACTGTTCTTTGCAATACGTGAGCAGAGCCGGGAGTTACCACAACACTCATTTTTAAAGTGCTCTGCTCTTAGAGCAGAGCAACCCGAGCCAATCCAAATCTGTAAACACACAGGAGGTCTCAAACAGGCCTTTGCCCTCTTCCAGGATCAGCCAATTCCCAGTGTGCCCAAGGTCTGTTACTACAACTGCACTCAGCACAGCCAAGAGTTTAATGCAATAATGCCCACAGGTTCCACTCTGGAAGGATGTGCTGGGCCAGTGCCCTCAAACCACCTCACACTCGAAATACAGACAAAGCATTTCTGAAAACCCAAGATAACCATGACTTCACTCTCTGCCAGCATAAACAGAGACTAAAACCAAACTGAGCCAAGCAGCAGTGAAGGCAGTGTTTCCAGCATCACAGGGGAATCTGTAGTAAAAAACCCAAACCTGGTTCAACACAGACAGGCCCCAAAACAGAAAACACAATCCAAATACCCGACAAACTTCAAAGCCACTGGGCAATTTTAACCCCGTGTCAATCTGAATTTCTTCACAATAGATCAAACAATTGTGTCTGTTGTTACAGGAAGCCACATCAACACCTCCTGAATGAAGACAAACCTTTGTTGACGTGAACATCCCTGTCACTGTGCCACAGAAACACATCTCTCCCCACAGCACTCGCTGTAAGGTGTCTGAACAGACATTTTCCTTGCCTGCTTTAGAAGCCCAAGAGGCACTACTGACAGGCTGACCGTTTAAAAATGCACAGAATTGGCTTTTTTACTGGAGAAGGATGATGCATCTATTCCCTTCCCTGCCCCCATTCATACATTCCACATGCTATTTCCACCCAAGTAACACAGTGGACAAACGCCTTATTCAGTCTCTGGCTCAGTTCAAACTTCTGAGCATTTCTTGGCTTCTTTGTCACTAAGTCTCCACAGAGCACCACCTTCTCCTCAGTCTCCTGGGCAAAAATCATTGTTTCATTCTGCTGCATAGAACCAACCAGACTGTTTAAAGCATTGCTAACTGTGACTGCAGTAGTTCAGAAAAAAGCACTTCAAAGTCACTGCCCAGTGGTGTATAAATATTTATTAAAAAGTAAGTCTGCAGCAAGTCTTGCAAGGGAACATTACAGAATTGGATTTCATAGAAGAAATGAAGTTCACTGAACTCAGCTGTTGCTGTCAGAATACCTTTAATTATCACTCAGCTTCAGGATTTAGTGTTTTAGTTTAGCTAGCTTGCTTTAAAGACTAGCTTCAGAGTAAAATTTAGGTTTTGTATGCTGACTTTATTCTTTTTTTTCTTCTGACTTTATTTATTTTTTTAACCTTCCTACAGAAGGCACTTAATTGCCTTTTTAGGCACATGCAATTTACTCAATTAATTGATTTTACAGTGGAGTCACAAACCTTCTGATCACCATTCCTCAACACCCTGAAAATTCTGCTGCTGGTTGCAAAGTTGACAAGATTCAGAAGCTCATTCACACCTTTGTTTCTAAATGCCAAGATTAGCTCTCAGCACTAATAACATGACTGAGCATCACCCCCTTTTAAATTATGCAAAACGCTTCAGCAGTTTTAGGTCAGAAAGCGGGAGAACTATCAACAAGCATTTAACAAGCACTGAATCACTGCAGCATTTGCAAGACCTCCCGAGCTCCACAGAGACACCACAACCAGTCAACCTCACCCTTCCCAACCATCGTCCCTCACCAGACAGCTGCTGGTCATATCTCAGTCTGAGAACAAGAGTTCTCCAGGGAGATGAATTTACTGTCTTTTTTCCTTAGCATGTTAATTCAGTTGCTCTCAACACAAAGCAGAAGTGACAAAACCACCCCGAGCACACAGTGCACTCGCACCCTGAGCGCTCCCACCACTCATCAGATCAATGAAGCTGCACAATTAAACATCGCAGGAAAAAATTGCCTGTGCAAAGGCAGCTTTTAAAAGCCAGCACCCTGTTGACTGTTACTCTGACCGGCTCCACAGGACACAGCACAGTTCAGAATGACCCGCACCCCACGTAAGGAGCAGCAGGACAGTTCAACCGTCAGCTCAGGCAGCTCTTGCTGGCAAACACTGATACTGGTCATTATCACCCCAAAGACATTCCTACTGCTGTCCCAGGACCTTCCAAGGCGCTGCTTCACCTCAGTTATGGAAACTGATCAGAAACTTGAAACACATCATTTCCACTGCACCACTTCACAGCGCTTCTGGTGAACCCTGTTCAGCTGCAAACTGAGTTACGCACATGTCAAAAGAGCATGTTCTTAGTATCATCAGCGCTAAGAGAACAAACAGTATCTTCAGACCTCGCTGCTGGTCTCCTCCTTACTGGGGTCTCTCAGCTGCCTCAGAGCACATACATTATACAGACAGTAAGTAATAAAAAGATAAAGTCTCCAGTAGTTAAAACGAGTCCCATTAAACCAGCACCCTCAAACCTTCAAATAAATGTAGATCCAACCTCAAGACAGTGGCTAATATTTAGAAAACAAAATATTAAGTTCCACAAATGCCAGGACAGTTCAATAGTGCCTTCTCAGACACCACTCAAAGGAGAGTGAAGCAGCTGCTGGAGAGAATCATTTGCATCTCTCACCTTTGAGACTGCCCAGAATCTTCTCAATACTGAAGCAGTGGAAAGTACAATTCCATTCTCCAGAAGCAGAAGGAAGAGCCCGGAGTGGACAAAGGTTGTAAACTGGACTTATGAAACTGTTGCCTCTGCAGATACACTCTGATGTTGAAACACAGCACGAGATGCAAATCCACAGGACTAACTGGCACTGCTCTTACTCCCAACCCACTGCCAAATTCCAGAGAATTATGTTTCCAAGGGTAAAGAACATCTGATTTCAAACTGGAAAAAAGCCTTCACCAAGAGTTTCTCGTCGCATTTTACAGCAAATGCCTTTATGAGGGTTTTGATCGATACACCGAGCAGGAAAGATGCTGGAGTTTCATGTTTCCTCCTTCCCCTAAATCAGAGTCGTACCCAGCCCTGAGCATTCTGTTTTCCCCAGCTGAAGTCAGAGATAGTATCTTGAGTGCCAACTCTTTCCTTTGCAAATAACACTCCATTACTTTACATTAGCATATTATAACATCAGACATCAGCCCAAATGTAATGGGCACAGATCAATAATCACATCCTACAAAAGCTGCTCTGCCATTTCTTCCATCTCCCAAATGAACTGTATCTCCACAGCTTTCTTAAGCCGCTCACATCAAGCTTCTCTCTACTGATGTCAAGACAGCAGTCTTGACAGATGAAAAATTTAGATGCTTTTATTCCTTTACATTATTAGCCAATGCTTCAGCAGCAAATGGGAGACTGAAAGCCTGCAAGAGGCTTTGTTGCTTTCAATTCACGTTTATCCCAGTTCTCTCTCCCTACTGGTTTTTTTTTTGGTGTTTTTTTTTTTGGTTTTTTTTTCCCACTAACCTGCCCCAGCAGGGTGCAGACAGCTGCCCTATTCCAGCCCTGCCCACAAGAAGGAAGCTGCTGGTTTCAGCATTCTGCCAGCCAAGCTGTTTGTAGAGCACTACAGAACCCATCACACACACCAGTGGAATTAATGCAGAGCAGGCACTAACACAGGACTGTGCCCAAAGGCTCAGGCCAGGACACGGCAGCAGGGACTCACCTCTGCCTGGGAAGGAGCCATTTCCAGCAGAAGGAGGATGAACACTTGAGGGCAACAGCATCTTCACCCCCAACAGCTGTTTGCTGGGTGACTGGCAGCTCTTGCTCCATGCTTCCCTCTGAGTCTCCATTTAACTGAGAGCCTTCTGCTATTCCTTACCTCATCCCTGTCATCCTCCCTTCTTTCCCAGTCCACTCTCCTGCTTTAGTCACACTGCAGTGGCACATGATCTTCTATGGAAGTACAATGCTCTGCCACCACGGAATATTGTATAAATTACTAATGATGGTACATCACAACAAAGTGTAGTTATCTTTTAAAACAGTGAAGTGTTCCCTGAAAAGACAGCAGGGATCCCTGAAGGGTTTTCCACTGACTGCAGCAATGTACAAATTATTTTAGTGAGATTCTTCCACCCTCTCCTGACACCAAATGCTCTTTATCAGACTCCAAGAGAAAAAACCCTCTTCCAGGTGGACTGATTTACTTCCAAAGGAACAAGCAGGACCACACACCTGAGTCCCTTTTGGCCAGGTGTGAAGTATCAGAGGAGAAGGAATCACCAGTGGAGTCTGTGAGTACCAGAGTCCTGGTGAAAGCTGATCCCCCACACCCCAGGGGACAGAAGAACAGGGATCCTGGTGTCCAAGCCTTCTGGACCGCAGCTTTCACATCAGGCTCTGGACAGCAGCTGTCTCCTAACAGAAAACCATTCCCCCCTTTACAACCTGAGGAGCATTTCCCTCTGCCTCAAACCAGGGCTGGACAAGCAGCTGGAATAAAACATGAATCCTTCCTTCTCCTCCCCCCAGTCCATGGCAACACCAGGTAGCACCGGGAAACAGGATTCTTTAGTTTCACAGCTGCCCACAGGGGTTTGAAAATAGCAACAGGGGCACTGGTGAGAGCAGCTGGTCCTATCTGTCCAGACTCAGCACATGAGTAAGCACTGGGATGTCTCACAACAAGAGAATGGAAGCTGAGAATGGGACCTCTGTAAATGCTGCACAAACCTCACCTCCCCACCAGTGGTTAACACTGCTCCGCTCCCTGGGCCTGTATTTAAACTGACTGCCCAAGCTGCAGCAAAGATTTAGAGGGGATGTGTGTAAAACAAGTTACCTCACAGGCCCAGTCACTGGAAAACACCTCAGTGTATTAATTCACCAATTAACTCAGGGGGGTTGTGAGTTCCCCTGACTCAGAGGCAAAGGCCTGGCACGTCCCTGTCTGGAATGAAGAACAGCTGCCCCATCTCACCTGGAGAAGGCAGGGCCGGATGCCTCTGGAGGCCCTTTAAGCCCTACAAGCCCAGAGTTACATCACACCAAAAACCCAAAGCACAGCCTTAAAAAAAAAAAAACAAAGAAACCCACAAACAAATATAAAGCAACAAAATCAAACAAAACACTCCTAAAAGTAAACTCTGTCTCCGTAAGAGAACCCTGCAATCCAAGAGACGGCACGTGATGTCCCACAGCTCAGGAACAAACACAGGACACCTGAAGGTAATTTTCACTGCTCAGCACGTTTAATTACTCCCCACTGAGCTCCAAGTCTTTCAGCTGCCCAGAGCTGTTTTCTCCCCAATAAACCACACGTGCAGATTGGTTTTATGATCACCCAGCTGCTGCGCAGCCCCGAGGCCTCGGCAAACCAGAGGTTAAGCGACTCAGCCCGTGTTGTGTGGCAGATACAGACCAGATCATTACAGTCCCCGGTGGCGTTACCGAACCGTGGGGGGCAGGAACGGCGTTCTCAGGAACCACGTTCACAGAACCGCGCCGGACAACCCTCCCGAGGTGACCGAAAACGCTCTCCCGCTGCGACAAGGGAATTTCTCGTACTAATTACACCGGCCGGGACTTACCGAGGAGTTTTTCCCGTGGGGGGTTTATTCAGCAGCCACGTCCCGCCTGCCCGGGCGGCGATGACAGAACACTCCCGGTGAAGCACTCGGGGCACGGGAGTCTCACTCGCCCCCGCCAGCACCGGGACCACAGGCCTCTCTCCTCTCCGCCTCCCCTGAGGCCCGGCCCGACACCCCCGCACCGGCGGGGCGGCTCCAGGACGGGCCTACCCGGCTCTGCGCGCCCCGTACCCCCCAGCGCCGGCGGGGCGCGCCCAGCCCAGCCCGCTCCGTGCCCATGCACCGCCTCCTGCGCTCCCGCCGGCCGGCGCGGGCCCCCCCGGACGCGGCACCTGGAACTGCAGCAGCTTCTCGGTCTGTTCCGCCGTCAGCTCCCGCTCCTCAGGCGCCGCCATTTTGCCGCCGCCTCTGACCCGCCGAGCCGTCACTCTCCGGAAGTGACGCCGCCCGCCCGCACTTCCGCCCCGGCGGGGCGCCGCGCGGCCAATGGCTGTTTATCGGCCGGAGCCGCTCGGCCGCGATCCGGAGACACCCGAACGGCTCTCGGGCTAGTCCGGAAACGCCCGAATCCCATCGGAGGGGTTAGCCTCGCTCGGGTGTTCCCGGCGGGCGCCCGAAGAGTTTCGAAGCGTGCCGAGCGTTGCTCGGGTGTTCCCGGTGGGCACGCGAAGAGTACCGAAGCGTGCCGAGCACTGCTCGGGTGTTCCCAGACCTGGCAGGGGACCGGGGGGGGGGGTTCTGCCAGTGGCTGTGCGAGAGGGCTTTGAGCCCGAGAGGGCTGGTGGGGGTATGAGCCGGAGACCCTCGGGAGCCGGTTGTGTTCCCTCTCCGCGGGGGCTGCCGGACACCGGGTGGGCCCTGCCCGGTACCTCTGGTCCCGCCGGGAGGATCCCGCCCGGCACTCCCCGTGCCCTGCGCCCAAGATGGCGGCGGCCGCCAAGATGGAGGGGGCCTTGAGAGGCCCCCGCTCCCACCCGCAGCCACGAGCCCCCGTGTGGGGAGCCGGCGCGGGAGACTGCGGCCCGCTGAGCTCCGGGCGGCCGGGCAGCCCCGGCCCGCCGCGCCCGCTGCAGGTGGCGGGGAGGCGGTGCGCGACCGCGGGGCCGCCCCGGCGCTGATGTCAGCGCGGCCGCTCCGCCCGCCGCCGCAGTGACAGCGGCGGCTCCTCCCGGGCACAGTCGGGCCCAGCCCAGACAAGCCGCGCAGCCGGAGCCGGAGCGGCGCGGGCGGGCCGGACATGGCCGACGACTTCGGCTTTTTTTCCTCGTCCGAGGGCGCCGGCGCCGAGGAGGACCCGGCCGCCGCCTTCCTGGCCCAGCAGGAGAGCGAGATCGCGGGCATCGAGAACGACGAGGGCTTCGGGCCGACCGACGGCGAGGCGGCCGCCGCCCCGGGCGGGCAGACGGCCCCGCCGGAACAGGGTGAGCGCCGGGCGGGTGCGGCCGCGGGGACCGCCCGGCTGCGGCCCCGGCGGGCACGAGAGGCTGCCACCCCCGTGGGGGAACGGGGGCTGTGCCCTTCCTACCCCAAGGGTGGGGAAGGGTCCCCCGGGCCGCGCCCCCGCGGGGCTGGGGTTCCCCGTGGGACGGACGGCCCCCCCCGGGGGTGATGGGGTTTGTCCTGCACTCCATGGGAAGGGGATGGGGTGTCCCGGTGGGCCCGGCTGGCAGCCCAGTAAGGGCTGTCTGCGCCTGTGCTTGGGCCCAAAGGGCTTCTAGAACATCAGGATATGGCGTGAATGCTGAGCTGGGATGTGCTGGCTGTGGGGCAGTTTTTCTTCCACGTGCCCAGGCTGGGTTCCCCGGGCTGGATGGACTCCCATTTCCATGTCTCAGTGCCCCCAGCTGTGGCAATGTAGAAGGCATCCAGGCGGAACTGAGGAGCACTGGCAGCCTTGTCACTGTCCCTGCAGACAGGGAAGCCCTTTGGGGTGCAGAATGGAAGAGATTCCCATTGGGAACACTGTGGTCCCAGGCCCTGCAAGTAGAATGTGCTAATCCTGATCTCTTGCCTTCAGTGTGCAGGGGCTCAGGGATTTGCTCTCTGCATGGGCATGGGGTTGCTGCCAGTGGGCTCTGATTCCTTCCCCTGCTTCAGCCCCACAGGGTCTCCTCGTGCTGGCTGTGGAGCAGTGGTTTCACTGCTGTGCTCACAGGGCCGTGGAGGCAGATCTGGGCCTTGAGAATTGTTGACAGCCACAGTGATAAATGCAGTCAGACAGGCTGGAGCTGGGTGTAGTCGTAGGGGTGAGCACCATGGGGACAGAGCTGCACTGTGGCTGTGCCTGTAGCTGGCTAGCCAGGAGAAGGCCTGTGCTGGTCACTGGGGAGAGCTTAGGGCCTGGAGTGTGACTCCTTCAAAGCCTCTTCTCTCCCGGCAGCGAAGCCCCCTGCCTGGGGCTGGCATTGTGACCCTGGTGTGCAGCTCTCTGGGGCTTCAGTGGTGCTTCATTCCCAGCCCTGACCTTGCAGGTCATCCCAGGTGGGCTCTCAAGGACCTTGACCTGCATCCATGCCCTCCTCTCCTGGTGGAGCACATGGAGTATTTCCATAGGCCCTGTCCCTGGGGAGCTGCCTCAGCACTCAGCCGGCAGATTCTGTGTCCATTGGCAGCCTCTGCAGGTGGGGGTCGGTCAGGTTGTGTTTCTTCAGTCAGAGCAGCAGCCTGTGTCCATGCCTGGAAGTTTCCCTAATCTTTAGATAAGATAAAACACCAGTGAAAGCACCATAAAGACATAAATGCCTGGAGAGGCTTGTGTGGGAGAGAGAGAGGTGCTCGCTGGATCCCACCAAGGACAGGGCACTGGGAGTGTTGTGAATGGGTGTGCTGGGCTGGAAATGGCACAGACAAATTCCCAGGAACTAATTTGCTTCAGTTTTCATGAACTCTAGCCCCACCGAGATCACCTGCAGCTGCCATAGTTGTATTCTTCTTTCTCTCTTCCTTTTTCTCCAGCTGGTTTCCAGAATGGAGGAGCCACTGTCAACGGAGATGTGTTTCAGGTGAGACCTCAGCCCTTCCCTGGCCCAGGGCTGCTAAGGGAGATAGGGTGGATGTGGGGCCAGCACTCTGCTGCTCTGCCCCCAGTTTTGACTGGAATTTGCTATCCAGCTGCAGAACAGCTACGGTGCTCCTGGAAAGGTCTGGGTCTCCTGGGGGAGTCCTGGCTGCTCCATTCTCTTTGAAGAGAAGATGTGTCCCACCTGCCATGACCTGCCCCACATCTGTTTGCAGGTGGCCTGTGCCATGAAGGAGTGCCTGGGTCCTAAGAGCAGGTGACAAATCCTCCATTCTCCACGGAAGGCCCCTCTCTCCAGCCTGGGTAGCTTCTGGAGATATCTAGGGCAGGCAGGAGCATCTCTTGGCAGAGGCCAGAGCCAGGGCAGGGCTGTCACGGAACACGTGCTTTGCTGTCTTGGCAGCATCTCCCATGAAAATCACTTGCCCCATGGCCAGAGGTGTTTGGGGGGGAGCCCACCTGTGTCTCAGCTTCCTCTGAGAGCCCAAAGCCCAGCTCTGCTGGCTACAGGAGACCCTGTGCCAGCATCTGACAAGTCCTTCACCTCCCTTGGTGCTTGGCAGTGGAGCGTCTGCACGGCCCGTGCCTGGCTTACAGGTTGATAATCACATCAGTAATGGGACAGACTTAATTAGATTGGAGATCTTGGAGAAAGCCATAATCCCATCTCTGAGCTTGGTGTCAGCATGACTGGGCATCCCGGCCAGGAAGGTGTTATGGGAGGTGCTGAGCCAGCACCTCCATGGCCTGGCGGGCCGTGTGGGCAGCTCGGCACAGGAGCGAGGGATGCAGCTCAGTCCCGGGGCTGACTTGGCCCTGCTGAGGGACAGGGAATCCCTGGGAATCCCTAGGAGTGTGTCCCAAGGCCAGTGGCTGTCCTGTGCTGTGGAGCTGCCCAGAGGATGCAACAGCAATGATGGCAGTGAGCAGCAAGGCAAGGAGGGGAGTGCTGGGAAGTATTTTTAAGTGGCACGGCTTAAGGATAGGAGCTGGAACAGCAGCTTGAGCAACGCTTTGGGGGACTCTGTCCCAGATGTTGCAGTCTATCACCCTTCCTACCTCTGATCTTGGCTTGTCAGTGCTGGGAGTGTGGAATCCTGATCCCTGCCAACCTTGGAGGTGGCTGGGCTGGGCTGTGGGAAGAGCTGGTGCTGATGGCAAGGTGCTCATGTCCTGCAGGAGTCCAACGGCCCCACGGATGCCTACGCAGCCATAGCCAAGGCCGACCGGCTGACCCAAGAACCTGAGAGCATCCGCAAATGGAGGGAGGAGCAGAAGAAGCGCCTGGAGGAGCTGGGTGAGGACCCAAGGCCATGTGTGGCCACGCTTGTGGCACCTCATAATGTGGCAGTTGGGGCCCTTGGGTCCCTCACCTTCTGCATTCCAGAGAAGTGTTTTGTGCCCCTGCCAAAGATCTGCTGTCCTTGGAGCAGTGGTGCCTTTTGGCCAGTATTGGTGGGGACTGGGGACAGGTCTGGGTGGCTGCAGCTGCCCTGCCTGATGAGGGGCTGCCCAGCACACCCAGTGGGTGCCAGTGTGGCTGATGGGCTCTGTCTCACTCTGGCCTTAGATGCAGCATCAAAGGTGACTGAGCAGGAATGGCGTGAGAAGGCCAAGAAGGACCTGGAGGAGTGGAACCTCCGTCAGAATGAGCAGATGGAGAAGAACCGGGCAAACAATAGGTATGTTGGGGTCAGTACGGCCATGAGACTATGATGGGAGCTGCTGTTCAGCCAGATCTGCCTTTCTGGATAGTCTGGGGGCCTTTTTCCCCACAGTGGGGCCTAGCCCTGCAGGACGGAGCTTTGCCAAGCAAGGGGAGAGGCCCCAGGGCTTGGAGTGGCTCTGGTGGCTGTGCAGAGCCACCTTGGCTGGGATCACCCTGGGATCACCCTGGGATCTCGGTGCCTCCTGCCCCTGCGTGGGCCTCACAGGGGGGCAGGATTGGGCTCCGGGTTCTCCTGGCGCTGCGATGTGTGGGTCACACTCTTTGGGAGGACTAACCCCCTCTGTTCTCTCTTTCTAACCCTCTGCCTGCCTGTCGCTCCGCTCCGCTCTCTCTCTCTCTGTGCCCGGGGTAGGATCGCTGACAAAGCCTTTTACCAGCAGCCGGACGCCGATGTCATTGGCTACGTGTATGTGCCTCTTACACACCGTATCCTGCCCTGCAGGCTCTGGGGGTCCCCGCCCCAGCACTGGCTGCCCAGCCAAGGGGAGGGGGGTCTGGGAGGTCCTGGGCTCTGGTGAGGTCCCAGAGGGAGGACGACGCAGCTGAGCGTCTCTGAATGGTGGAGTCTTAGGAGGCAAGTGGAGCTCCTGGAATGCCCCTGTGGGAGCTGTTTGAAGAGGCAAAGCTGTGGGCTCTTAAGCCTTTTTGGGGCTGTTGGGGGATGGAGAAGTCTTGGGAGCACATGGACATCCCAGCACCTCTGGATGAATGATGTCTTGGGTGAGCACAGCCAACAGCAGCCTTGAGCATCGCGTGTCTCTGGCTCCCAGAGGACACTTAGCTCATTGTTTGGAGCAAGGGGATAGGAAGCAGGGACACAAGGGGAGAACCTCCTTGAAAAGGGTTCCGCCAGTGACAACGCTCAATGTCTGCAGGGCCTCGGAGGAAGCATTCCTGAAGGAGTCCAAGGAGGAGACCCCAGGCTCTGAGTGGGAGAAGGTGGCCCAGCTGTGTGATTTCAACCCCAAGAGCAGCAAGCAGAGCAAGGATGTCTCGCGGATGCGCTCGGTGCTCATCTCCCTGAAACAGACGCCCCTGTCCCGCTAGCTGTGCCTGGCACAGGCGGGAGCACCGCGGGCACGGCCGGGATCACTGAGCCGGGCGGCTCCAGGGGCCGGCCCAGCATGGGCCTCCCGCTGCCTGCTCCCTGGTCTGCGCCTCAGCTGTGCTCGAGTCACTGGTTGTAACTCTCCCCATGGTTTTCCTTTGCTTAAAAGGTGCATCGGTCTCTTTTTACACTTATTTATAAATCACTGTGGCATTTCCCTGGGAAGCGGCACTGGGTGGCAGAGCTGAGTTAAGGAGGAAGCCCCGGCCCGGGCTCTGCAGGAGGTTGTGTGCGGGGGTCTGGCTGAGAGAGCAGGGAATATCCCACCCTGTGTTGCCCACCTCACCCCTGTGCTGGGAATAAACCTGCCTGTGGCTGTCCTGGCAGCCCTGTGTTCGGGCCTCAGTCCTATCCCTGAGGCAGGGATTCCAGTGGGGTCCGGCCTGGTTGTGCACCCCAAAAAGCTGATGGGGTTCCAGTGTCCATGTCCCATCTGTCCTGCAGTGCTGGCAGTATGGTGCTGCAGAGCACTGGGGAAGGGCCATGGAGTGAATGTGCAGGATGTTTTCTGTCCCTCTTTTGTGACCACCAGCAGTTGGGAATGTGGGATGCCAGGCTTTGAGAGCCCCTGGCTTTGCTCTGCTCCTTCCTCTGCTATTAGAAGGGGAGATGGAGGCTGTGTGGTTGCAGGGAAGGAGGTAGGAACGTCCAGCTGCTGTGGGTCAGGGCAAGCTCCTCCAGCTTCCTAATGCAGGAAGGAGGGTTGGGCAGAATTCTGGTGCTGGGGCTCGTCCCTGAGAACCTGCACATCTGTCTGCAGCTGCTCTGCTCCCTGGCTTTGCCCACCTAAGGCACTATGGGGAGATGCCTCAGTCCCACTCCCTGCCTGAACACTGGCTTTCTCTCCTCTGCTTGGCAGGGCTGGCACCAACCCTGGGAACCTGCACAGCTCCTGAGTAGCAGGAGAGGGACAGCCTTGAGCTCGTGCCCAGGGTTTGAGAGCCTGGGAAAGGCTTGCAGCAGCTGGAGGGACATGGAGCAGAGCCCACAAAACACTTAAGCCTCACTGCAGGGCCCTGCTCGGCTGGAAATCAAGTATGCAGAGCTGTCCTGCCCTGCAGTTGTGGCTCCAGAGCCAGGAATGTCACCTGTGCTGCTGCTGCAGCCATCAGGGGGATGGTTGGGCACCGGTGGCTCTGGGGCACAGGCTCAGCAATGGGCTGGGAAGGGAAATGGGTGCGTAGGGAGTCACTTGGTGTTGTGTGTTGGGATTGTGCCCCTCTGCCCATAGAGCTGATCACTCCTGCCCGGTCCCCCTGCCCTCCAGCATGTGTAGGCAGCTCTGCCATGCCGCAGGACACCTTGGGACTTGGCTGCCTGCCTCTGCCTTTCCCTGCAGAGCAGTGGGAAGCACCTCTGGCTGCTTCTGGGGGGACAGTGTGCCCCCCATCCCGTGCTGTTCCTCCAGGCCCTGCAGGCAGCCAGGCCCTGGGTCCCTCAGCTGCCATGTGCTCCATGTGAGGCCAGGGCAGCTCCCAGGGAGCCGTGCCCACAGCTCTTCTACGTCCCCTCGGCTTTGGTTTCTGTGACTGTCCAAATTATCTGTTACAATAAACCGACATCTCCAATCCTACGGGGCACTGTTGTCTGTGCGTTAGGGACACACGTACTGTGTTCAGGAGAACCCACAGCCATGAGGCCTCCTATGGGAAGGATGGGGCTGGAGGAGCAGCACATCCTACAGGAAAAAAACAGGAGTGAGGGGAGGGGAAGGCTGAAGCAGCAGCACATCCCAGAGAACTCAGCCAGGCCTGCTTTCGGAATCACGAGTTCCCAACTTGTTTTCACAGGGATTTTCATTGCTCATGCCCTGTTTGCATCACCACAACTCCAAGGCAGCTGTGCCCACTCCCTTTCCTACCTACACTGATTACTGTTGTGGCTTCTCAATGCTCTGCAATCCAGTATCAGTCACAATCTTGCTGCAATTCACTTTATTACTCACCAGTTGCAATCGAACAGGTTACACATCCTCCCCAAACTGCTCCCCTGCTCTGTCCTGCCAAGACCGAGCCATAAACAGCTGTTCCTTCCTACCTGGGCAGCTCATTTCTCAAATGCTGGTGCACTGCCTGACTGAAGCCACACCTCAGCGCAGACCACAACCCAGAGGACATGATTTTAACAGGCTGTGACAGCACCAAGAAGGGATGAGTCCTGACAGGGGTAACGAGCCTTAGTGACACAGCGTTGGTGTGGCAGGATAAGCCCTCAAGGAATCAAAAAAATGCCATGGCCCAAATTTCAGGATAATCACAGAGTGTATTCACCCCATTTCCAGTGCTCTGGACTACAGAGCCTCTTCAGCAGTGGCTCCACCAAGACATCCCGACAGTCCCTCAGAAAACTCCCATCTGCAGCCAGGATCCATCCGGAGGTGGTGGGCGCTGGCCCGCGGCTGCAGCTCCTCTCCTGTCCGCGGTCACTGTCTGGATTTCAGGGCCGTGACCACCATGCCCCCCAGCAGGGCCGCGAAGGTGAAGCCCTGGGCCAGGATACGCGCCCGCATCATCAGCTGGGACCGGCGGATGTTGCCCCTCTTGAAGCTGATCAGGCCGTAGGTCAGGACGCCGACAGTGCAGAGGCAGCCTGAGGGAAGGTCGGGGCTGTGAGAGAGAAGCGGCTCCCCCCGCGCTTCCACAGCACCCCCACACCCGGGCCGTGCCCGCCCGGGCCGGGGCTCATGAGGGACCCACCCGTCACCGGCCCGCACGCCCCGGCCCTCGCCCCTCACTCAGCACCGTCCCCCCCCGTCCCGCCCTCACCGAGGGGCACCAGGGGGTTCTCGCGGGTCTTGCGCAGGAACTTGTCCCCGAATCCCTCCTCCCTGAACGCGGGCAGCACTGGGGGATCCAGCGGCGGGGGCGGCCCGGCCGCCATGGCGAAGGTGACAGCCGCGGCCCCTCCCGGCTGCCGTACCCCCGCCCCCGGCGTAGTGCATGCCGGGGGGTGTAGTCCAATGTAGCACACCCACCGCGCGGCTCCGCGGGCGCGGGACTACATTTCCCGTGGTGCCCCGCGGCGCGGCCGGCAGCCCAGGGGGCCCTGCCGCTCGGACACCCACGTGGGCCCGCCATGCCGAAGGCGAAGGGGAAGAGCCGGCGGCACAAGTACTCCTACAACCTCAACCGCAAGCGCCTCTATCGCAGCGCCCGCCGCCGCGCCGCGCCCCGCATCGCCTGGTGAGCGCCGGGGGCACGGGCACGGGGGGCACGGGGGGCACGGGCCGAGGGCGGGCGGGAGTGGGCGCCCCACGGGGGACCTGCAGCGCGTGTCGGTGGGGAGGGGGAGCACAGCCGTGATGTCCCTTGTCCCCACGCAGCTCGCACATCCGCCATGCCTGGGACCCGAGCAAGTCGGTGGCACAGAACCTGGCCGAGATGGGCCTGTCCCCGGACCCCAACAAGGCCGTCCCCATCCCGAAGAAGCTGGTAAGTGTGGTGGAGGGTCCCGGCGGGGGCTGCACCTCTGTGGGGGCTGTGGGGGGTTGGAGAAAGCAGCGTGGAGAGCAACCAGCCTCAGAGCATGGGGCAGGTGGCTCTGGATCCGTCCCCAGGAGGTGGACGCTTTTTCTTTTCTTGATCTACGTCCTTTTCTCACCAAAATCCTGGCGTGGGAACGTGCGACAGCACTAAAGAGACATAATGGACTTTAGAACAAATTTAAATAACATCATCTCCTGGGACTTGACAGAGACAGGTGTGGTTGGAAACGCCGTAGCCAAGTTGCTCCTGATAACAAATAAAGGCTCTTTGTGCCCAGCAGTGCCAGCGTGGCCCATCAGCATCTGTGAGCAGTGCTGCCAGGTGGAAAGTGGCCCCACAAAGGTCCCACTCAAGGGAAAAAAGAGGAGTGACCTTGTTTGTTATTTGTCTCTGTTCAGGCAGCGTTGCTGAGATGACAGGCTGGCCTACGAGCCCCTTTAATGTCACAAATAAAGCTCTGCTTAAGCTGCCTGAGATTTCCTGGCCCCTGCAGCCGTGTACAAGCTGTCTGGAATTTTGGGAGCAACGTGTGGGGACAGAGCACTCTTCCAAATGGACTTTTCTTGAGTATTCTTTTGTCTCGTGTAACACAGGGGGTGGAAGCGGAAAGCAGTGGACAGCAGTCAGGAAAGAAAATAGTGCGGAAGCCGTACGTGGTGAACGGTCAGTGCTGCATGGGGGGCTCTCCCAAGGCCCTGGGGGTTATTTTATCTCTCTGTGCTGTGCCAGGGGAAGGGAAGGGTGTTACTTCTTGTCCAGCTTGTGGGCCTGTGGAGGAGCACGCCCTGGGCAGCAGTTGGCTGGAGCAGGACCATTCCTCTGGATCTGTCTCGTGGATTTCGTTTTCAAGGAGTAATGTCCATAAACTAAAACACAACAAGCTCCACTTCAACATGAGGAAAAACCTTCTCCCCATTCAGGGTGGAAGAGCACTGAAACAGCTGCCCAGGGAGGGTGTGGAGTCTCCCTCTTCACAGACATTCCAAACACTCCTGTGTCACCTGCTCCAGGTGACCCTGCCTTAGCAGGGGAGTTGGAATGGGTGATCTCTAGTGGGCCCTTCCAATCCTAATGATTCTGTGATTCTCTCCTGGGCTCTTGTCACTGTGAAACGTGGTGGTGTGTGGCAGCAGGGTGACGAGAAGCCATGGCTCAGTACCCAGCATGTTTTAGTGGTGGGTTGGGTAGCTCTAGGCAGTCACACTCTACAGCCTGGGCAGAAAGGGCCCTCTCCTCGTGGTGTGAGCTGGAGAGGAGCTGGAGCACAGGCCTGGATGCCTATAGCCCATGCAGAGGGCTCTTGTCTTGTCCATTTCCCTGCACCATCATGCTGGGAAGTGTCCCTGTGCACGTGAACAGCCAAGCTGTGCATTAGGAGTCTGCAGCACGGCCAGGCTTGACCTTGGGGAGAGGCTGGGGGACCTCTGCGGAGGTGTTGCTTCCTTCCCTTCTTCATGCTGCCTCTGTGCTCTGCCTAGAGATGGAATATGAGGCCAGCCTCCCCGAGAAGAAGTCGAACACGCTGTCCCGGGACCTCATCGACTACGTGCGGTACATGATACAGAACCACGGGGAGAACTACAAGGTATGGCCTGGCTGCCCCGGGGCAAGGAGAACCCAGAGAGTCCTTGCTCCTGGATCTTCTGCAGGATGGGAATTGCTAATCCTCTGTCCTGGATCCTGTTCTGCAGTCAGCTGATTGTTGAGGGAAAACAGTGCTCTGAACCGTGGCCAGGCCCCTGTCTGAGTCAGGCAGTGATTGTGCCGGCGTGGGTGGGATGGGCTGGTGTTTGCTCTTGGGGCTGCTCCTCTGACTTACCCTTTCCTTTGTCGCAGGAAATGGCTCGAGATGAGAAGAACTACTACCAGGATACCCCCAAGCAGATTAAGAGAAAGATCAACGTGTACAAGAATTTCTATCCCGAGGAGTACAAGGAATTCATGGCATCACTTAAGCCAGAAAAGATGGATGTGCAGTGACTGCCCTTTTTCCTCAGGTTTACCTGCAAGTGCAGGCTTGACATGACCATTTTCTGAACTGTAAAAAGCCTCTGGAGGTGGAGGAAGGACCCTCATTAGACAGAGGTGGTTACAACCAGCCATGGGCACTGACTGTGCTGTGCTGTTCACTTTCTGTGTGGCAGCTGGCACTTCTTTTGCTTTGCTGAAATAAAATATTCTTTCAAGCTGGTGTGAATGTCTCGCTCTGGGCCCTTGCTTGGTGCAGCCCTGCTTTGGAGAGCTCCTGTGACGTTGGCACTGGGCATGTGCCACCCTCCGTGGTGACAGGGCTGAGGCCCAGCGGGTGTGGGCAGCACTCAGACCTTGGCTGATTGCCCTGTAGGCAGCAGAGGTTGGAGTGGGGCCATGTGCTGCTTCCTTCCCCTGCTGGTGACCTTCCTGCCTGCAGTGTGGGAGACTGGGCTGGGGTCCCTTCCCTGCTGAGTCCTGCTGGCAGGCAGGGCTTCCTGCTGTCCCTGAGTGCGGCTCCATCCCCTTCTCCCGGGGGCAGTGGAGCAGGAGGCAGAGCAGGCAGGGCAGGCAAATGCCAGCGGAGCGCAGCTCCCACAGAAGAGCCCATCTTCACCCCTGTGCAGGGCTGTTTGATACCTGCCTTCATCTCTCCTAAACAGGGCTTTAAATACGGAGTTGGGAAAGTCGAGAGCTGTGCTCAGCCCTGGGAATGCACAGGCTGAGCTGGTTATTCCCGCTGAGTGCTGTAGTGGCAGGGCTGTAGCAGCAGTAACTCTGATTTCCCAGGAAGGAGAGCCCACCTTCTGAGTGGGGCGAGGGGACGGCCTCGCTTGTTCGTTTGATGTTCTGCGGGGCTGCCGTGAGGGCGCGGGGCCCTGGCGAGCTCAGCCAGAACTACACCTCCCAGCGCGCCCCGCGCCCCGAGCCAGATCTCGCGAGGCCGGCGCGCCTATAAGAGCGCCTCCGCAGGTCGCCATCCCCTCAGCCGGTGGCGGTTCCCGGAGGCTCCGCCATGGCCCGCCCGGCCCCGGCCCCGCCGCGCTGACCGCGCCGCCCCCGCCATGAGCTCTGCGCAGCCCCACGCTCCCGGTAAGGCCCCTCCGCGCTCCCCGCCGGCCCCGGTGTGCCGCGCTGGCGGTCGCTGAGCGCCGCGCTCTCCCCGCAGCGCTGGAGCCGGGCGGCGGGGCCCGCCGGGCCGGGATGTCGCTGCCCCTCGGCGTCCCGCGCCGCGCCTTCAGCTACGACGATGCCCTGGAGGACACGGCGCCCATGACGCCCCCGCCCGCCGACCTGTGCGCCGGCGTCCTGTGGAAACAGCCGGTCATCCCCGAGCGCAAGTACCAGGAGCTGTCGAAGGTACGGGCCGGGCCAGGGGTGCCCCCGCAGCCCTGAACCCCTCCGGGCATCCCACTCCTGGCATCCTGTCCTGCCCCTCGCAGCAGGACCCTCGGGAGGGGCTGGGGACAGAGCCCGGCATTCCCTGCCGTGGGAAGGGACAAGCTGAGCATCTTCTCGGTGTTTGTGGATAAAACGGATTTAACCGGGCGTAATCAAACCAGAGCACAAGGGTGGGTTTAGGTTGGATGTGAGTTCTTCCCTGTGAGGGTGGTGAGGCCCTGGCACACGTTGCCCAGAGAAACTTTGGCTGCCTCATCTCTGGAAGTGTTCAAGGCCAGATTGGACAGGGCTTGGAGCAACTTGGGATGGTGGAAAATGTCCCTGCCCATGCCCAGGGGTTGGAATGTGATGACCTTTAAGGTCCTTCCCAATCCAAACCATTCTGTGATTTTTGTGCTTTGAGTGAAGGACCAGCCCTTTTAAATTTAGAAGTGATTTTCTAAGTTTGAAGTGACGCTAAATGTTGTTAACTCGAAACACGTAACTGATCCCTTTGAGCTTAATCTCTACACCTCCTTTTGTTTTAAACTCTCCTCTGGAAGAGAACCCAAAGTTGTAGTTTTTCACAAAAAGCAAGCTCTCCAGCCAGGGAGCTCCTGTTTGAGGAGGAGGAAGTCTGTGTTTCACAGGATTTCTTGTTTCTAGCATTTATTTTCTGTTTCTTTGCTGAGGTCTCGTGGTAGAGCTGTGACCTCTTGATACACTGAGCAAGAAACAGTTAAAAGGAATGAGGGGAAAACAAGGTGTTCACACCAGGCTCTCCTCTGTGAACAGCTTGTGCTTGAGCTGCCTGTGGAAGGTGCTCTTGCCCAGTTGACCTTGAAGTCCAGTTTGCATTTAAGAAAAGTACAGATGTTCTGGTTTCTCTCCTGTTGACCTTTCTGTACTTGGACTAACAGCTTGTTGGCTCTGAGCCTGGCAGGTTTTCAGATGTTGGATTCAAGTTGCTTGTGCCTTGCTGTGAATTCTAAGGTTCGAGCTCTCAACATTCCTGGGCTGTAGTGAGCATAGCGTAGGGATTTGTCCCATGGGATGAAGGCAAGAGCAGCTTGGCCTCGT